GTAAAAAAGATTATTGAAAGAGAATGCGTTCAGTGTGAGGACCAATTCTGCAAGGCGTACCAGGGTGTGGGTGGGTGGATCAAGCACTGCGCATTTGTCCAGCGTGTGCTTGAGGGCTGTAAGGCAGTCGTTATGGGGAATGATGGTGTAATGTCATGTCAGGGGAAGCTCTGCTGTAATAGTATGTTGTCAAAGAGAAATTCTCCTGTATATGTATGGTGGCACAGAAGCGCTGTGATTGTCTTTGCGTATTGTAAGTTCTCCCTGTGTTTGCATGGGTTTCCTTAAGGTGCTCTGGGATTTTTTCCACAGTCCAAAGACGTACTTGTTGGTTAACTGACTTCTGGGGGAACTGGCCCTGTGTGAGTGTGTTAAGCTGTTTGTTTGTGTCTGTGTGTGCCCAGCAATGGACTGGTATCCCATCCAGGGGCGATCCTGCATTGTACCCATTGCTTTCAGATCCTGAATTGGATAAAGTGTTAGAAAACGTATGGATGGATATAAAGGGTATTGGGAAAGGGAAGAGGTAAATGCCGAAAAAAATAGTGCCAAGACAGTGAGGTAGTATCAATAAGTACTTTCTCATGCAAACACTTTTATACCAGCTGTAAGATGCAATAACACTGTGGATGTATAAAGCTGAAAATGTTGGTTACAGGGGAAAAATTCCTTGAAGGCTCCTGAAAACCTAGTTATTGTTGTTTGAACAGCCACGTAGGATAAATGGTTTTGACCAGAAAGAATTTTACAGACCATTCCGCATTTGAGCATCCTCTCCAGCAGTGGACAAAGAGAACATCTGATATAGGGAGCACTAAGAACCTGCTTGTAGGTAACAATAATACAAAAGACATTTCTTTGGAAAACATCAGGCTGGGATGTTTTATTTTCAACTGCACATCTTATTCTGAAGAAGGAATAGAAATCCAGTTATAAATAAAAAAAAAATAATAATGGAGTCCCTTACAGCAGACAAAAGCCAACAGGTTTAGCGCATTTAAGCTGCACTTCAATTATAAAATAATAGCATCTTTTTCAAAACACCCATCCCAGCTTCTGATACATCATTGGCTTTGTCCTGGACAGTCTTTAAATTCCATCTGCCCAGGGCTGCCCAGCAGAAAAATATCCGTTGCATTGTGTGTTAAATACCCAGCTACTGACAATGTAAGTGTCCATAACTGTTCAACTGAGGGACAAAAGGACTGTCTGTCACCCAGATTGTGACCCCTAAACCTTAGACAAAGTCAGGAGCAGCTTGGTGTATCTACTGAACAGTCAGTAGCTGCAAGGTGGTGTGTATGGGAGGACGTCTATTCCCACTGCTGGAGCCGCTTTCCACAAGTCTCCTGCCAGGTGAAGGTCGTGGTAGAGGTGATCACTCACACTCTGCCCGGCAGGTAGAACTTGCCAGTGTACCTCCCATGGTACCGCAAGTCAAATGGGCTCAGCATCTTGCGGATGCCCAACATGTTGGAGGCAGCCACTCTCTGGAAGGTCCAGGGGTTCTGATTGTTCATTTCGCGCTCCTTCACCTCCTGCTGCATGGCAGCCAGACTCTCCCTGCTCACAACCTGCCAAAACAGGGACACAAGATAGCTTACAAACCTCATGTGGCCCACCACACCCCTTTCTTTGCTCATATCCTCTCCCACAGATACCACAAGTTTATGTGTTTTTGACAAATCCCAAGGAATAGGCTCTCAGAACTGTTAGTCAGTGTCCTACACACACCAGCAACTCTCTGTATACAGAGGTTAAGCTGTTATTTCCTCTGCTAAATACATAAAATGTGCCTAATGCCTTTGCTGTTGCTGCTACAGACTTCATTGCTCACTGGTTTTTGTACCACTTTCAAATTTAACAAACTATTTGAAAGTCTAACAGACCAGTGCTTCCCTACCCTACTGAAGGAACACTGTGTACATTATCAATGCGGGTGAGTTCTAAATCTTCGGTGTTAATTGAAGACTTAATTGACCTGCATGCTTGTTTAAACACGGGTACCACATTTCTTGCTTGCTATTATTTCTTACTCAACTAGTTGATCAACTGAATATGAACAGACAGAGGTGGGAATGACACTGTATCAGACACAACCACAGGTGGGAATGACACTGTATCAGGCATGTCCACAATGAGCATTCTTCCTTTTGCAAAAGTCTCATTGCTTACATTAAGGCAACATATATGTCATTGTGGGGACTTCTGAAACTCAGAAAATGGCACAGGCCTGATAGCAATTGCAAATCTTGATCTCTTAAGACAGGAAAGCAAACTTACAAATATGCCCCAAATAGAAATCAATTAGCTTGTGATTACGAACTCAGCTGGAGCAAAAACCACAAGACACGGAATGGAGAACACTGATCTAGACTAGGGCTACAAATCTTAATGCATTTCCAAAATAAGTTTATAACAGAATAGTTCCTTAATTATTTCCTTGACTATCCGCAAGATTGATATAATCAAATAAGCTTCCGGTTGTATTAACAACCTGCAATGGGCTAGACTTGAAATTTGCCATGTGGCCTGGGTTGAGATACAGACAAGGAAGAGCAGCTGACCTTGGCTGGGAAAGGCAGCTTCTTGGTCACCTCTATCAAAACAGGTTCAACCTCGCCAAGCTCACAGCGCCCTCCAAGCTCCAACACCAGCCGCCCGCAGCGCACGGGAGTCACATAGTGGTCTATGGCACCCTTGCCTCCGCCCATGCGCTGCCCTAGCCCCTTGCGTGTGATGGGCTTGTAGGGCGCATTGACCCGCCAGCGTGCAAAGGTTGTTCGTGGGTCGATGTGCCTGTTGATGGTCAGTCTCATCATTTCCATGTGACCCCAGTGTAGGTAACCCCCACCCATAGCCTGGGATGGAAAGAAAAATCATTTCAGGAAAGACAAACCAAGTATATCCTAGAACCAGTTTAATATGATACAGATTTAACTACTGGAAGACGTGCTTGAGAAGAAAAGGAAATATCCACTGCTACTGTGGAAGGTGGTTCCACAGTAGGAATGTAGTAACCTGGCCTGCATGAAGAGGGCACCATAAAGAGCTACAAATACATTTGTATACAGTTTCATTACTGGCTAATGGAATGAATGTGATTTTTCACACTGTCTGCTTCATATTTAGCACATCATCTCACTCTGGGGCAGGAGTAGTAGCTAGGTGGTAGTCAGGAACCTGAGGTGCAGAGTGCAGATAGGCATTACCAGTTTAGTCGTGCAATGTGTAGTTTAGTATATTGAAATATTGTGGTTTGATTTGATGCTTTTTCTTAAAAACAAAGCCAGAAACCCTCCTGGACCTTCAGTCTTGTTTAGGAGTGTTTCATATGTGAGGGTGCTATGATCTGTGTTACCAAAAGTAGGATCTCCCACTCCAATACTACCAATGATGCTGTGTGCAATATTTATGCATTACCAATACCCACCACAATGCCATACTGGCCATACATGAAAGTAGTTCCCCTAGTTGCAGGTCCCCTGATGTCTCTTAATCTTTTCATTTCTCTCTTGGCCTTTTTGAGGTTGGGAACCTTGTTTATGAACTTAAGTTTTGGGCGCTCAGGCAGTACCACACCTGAAGTAAAAAGAAAAAAACAGACACTACTGAATTAAAGACAACATCAAAGTTATCTTAAAGAGAACTGGAACAGTAAGAAAAGACAAACAGCGTCGGTCACTGGAGTCACTCAGTCAGACAGAATAAGTCTCCACACAGTGTCAGACACAGGAGTCAGAC